GTGGTGTAGTGGTTAAGAGCTATGGCTGCTAACCAAAAGGTCAGCAGTTCAAATCCACCAGCTGCTCCTTGGAAACCCTATGGGGCAGTTCTAGTCTATCCTATAGGATAGCAATGAGTTGGAATCAACTCGACAGCAGTGGGTTTGGTTTGGTCTTTTTGACCCAAGGCATGGTATTTTCAGTTGCCTCATATGCATGGGAAAGATAGACAATGAATAAGGAAGACCAAAGAAGAATTGATGCCTGTCATGGATTGAACTGTGTCCCCTAAAAATATGGGTCAACTTAGTTAGGCCATGATTCCCAGTATTGTGTGGTTGTCCTCCATTTTGTGATTGTAATTTTATGTTAAAGAGGATTAGGGTGGCGATTGTAACAACTCTTACTAAGGTCAATCCCTGATCCAGTGTAAAGAGAGTTTCCCTGGAGTGTGGCCTGCACCACCTTTTATCTAAAAGGAAAAGGAAGCAAGCAGAGAGTGGGAACCTCATACCACCAAGAAAGCAGCACCCAGAGCAGAGCGCATTCTTTGGACCCAGGGTTCCTGTGCAGAGAAGCTCCTAGTCCAGGGGAAGACTGACAGATTGATGACAAGAACCTTCCTCCACAGCTGACAGAGAAAGTCTTCCCCTAGAGCTCACGCCATGAATTTGGACTTGGAGCCTACTAGACTGTGAGAGAATAAATTTCTCTGTTAAAGCCATCCACTTGTGGTATTTCTGTTAAAGCAGCACTAGATAACTAAGACAATGCCTTTGAATTATGGTGTTGCTGAGTAATATTGAATATATCATGGACTGCCAGAAGAAGAAACAAATTTGTCTTGGAAGAAATACAGCCCGACTGCTCCTTAGAAGTGAGGATGGCAAGACTTCATCTTATGTACTTTGGACATGTCATCAGGATGGACCACTTCCTGGAGAAGGACATCATGCTTGGTAAAAGTAGAGGGTCAGTGAAAGAGAAGACCCTCAACAAGATGTATTGACACAGTGGCTGCAGCAGTGGGCTAAAGCATAACAACGATTATGAGGATGGCACAGGACCGGCAGTGTTTCGTTCTGTTGTACTCAGGGTCGCTTTGAGTCAGAACCAACTCGAAGGCACCTAACAATAGTCTTTCCAGCCATTCGAATAATAAAGCCATTTTTTTTGTTGTTGTCTATAATAAAAGTGGAAACCCTGGTGACGTAGTGATTAAGAGCTACGGCTGCTAACCAAAAGGTCGGCAGTTTGAATCCAGCAGGCGCTCCTTGGAAACCATATCAGGCGGTTCTACTCTATGCCATAGGGTTACCATGAGTCGGAATCGACTCAACGGCAACCGGTTTTTATAATAAAAGTAGATGGTCCAAATAATAAGAAACTCCTGACCACATCCAAATGTTGTTGTTAATGGATGAATAGGATATAAAGCCAGAAGCATTACTTCCAGCCCAATTTTATTTCTCTTTGCATGTGATTAGTGTTAACACTATTGCCTATGAAACAACAAAGAGTTAAACTGAAACTAAATAATCTTTGATAATGAACAATTGACTGTTCTATTCGTTTTCAGCACTCAGAACTTAAAACTGATTTCTTCACAATTCTTATCTAGCGCTAAGAAGTGTTGACTGTTGGTTGGTCACCAAGGAGGATATTTAAAAAGAGGAAAAAATATATCCAAATTGGGCGGCCAAAACAGTAGGCCCAAAGCTCTCAAAGTAGACAATAGTATTACATCTTTATCTCCCAGCCATTTTCCATCACAAATCAAATCCTCCCGCCAGGTAACCCACACCTGGAAAGTTAGAAAAATGGGTGTGCTGGCAGCCTTAGGCGGAGAGGCACCAACTTTAACTTCACATCAGCAGAACCTCTGGAGCTTTTAAAAAACTACCACCGGGCTCCTAGCCCAAAGATTGGGTTTCAGTCGGTTTTCAACTGAGGAAGCAGCGTCTCAGAAGCTTGCCTTTTCATTGTTTTGAAATGATTTCTAGAATTTTATTTTTCAGTTGGCCCAAAGATCTGGTTTCAGTTCAGAATTTCCAGATGGGGTGCTGGGCATCGGTAGTTTTTTAAAAGCTCTCCAGCTGTGACCCTTGTGCAGCCAAGTTGAGAACTAGACAGTGAGACAGGAGGAAACGCTCCCCAAATTGCCACCATCCAGGAGAGAGGAGGAGCCTCAGTACCGTTACAACAGGACTCATTCTCAGCTGGAAGCTGTAGCTTCTGCAAGGTCAGAGACTGTACCGGTCTCCCCCCCAGGTCCCACCCTAGGCTCCGCCCCTCGCCGCGCCAGGCCTAGCCTCGCCCCTCCCCAGACTTCACTCCGACCCGGATCTCCCCCAGCTCCAGATCTTGCCCCGCCCGAAGCCCCGCCCTGCACGGGGGCGTCCTTGCTCCAGGCCCCGCCCCATTCGGGGCCCCGCCCTACTTCAAACCTCGCCCCTTTCTATGCTCTGTCTCGCTTCAGACCCTGTCCACTTCGAGCCCTGTTCTGCTCCCGCCCCTCGTTGCAGGCCCCGCCCCGGCGTGACTCCGCCTCTGAGCCAGGCCCGACTGGCCGCTTTCCCGACCCGGGCGGAGAAACGCGTCATCGCTCTGCGCCGCCGCCGGAAGTTTGTGTGTAATTTCCAAGTCGCTCGGACGTGAACTCGGGGTCCAAAATGCTTTTCCGTCCATTGGAGTGAGAAATGACCCGCCTTTTCTCTCTTGCTCACAGAGTCGCTTTGGCCACTGTGAGGTACAGTCGCTGCGGCTGTGGGGGGTTCGGAATGTTCTATGCCGTGAGAAGGGGCCGCAAGACCGGGGTTTTTCTTACTTGGTGAGTGACCTGCTTGCCGAAGCTGCCACCCTCTTCCAAGCTGTTTGTCCTCCCTGCTGTCTCCAACAGCAGGAGCCGAGGAAGCTGTCGTTGACTAGTTTTTCACCGACCAGCTTTGCCTCCCGGGGATACCACACAGTAGAGAGTCCGGCTCTAGAGACTGTTAAACCATATGTGCCCATATTTGTAGTTTGAGTTTTAGGTAGGAGCCCCGTATTCTCACTGACATCCAGGAAATTGGGGAGTCTGAGAAGCTCACAGCTCTGCTTCTGGCTCCTGCCAGTCTCGAGCTGACGTCCGCCCAGCGGAGTCACACGGTAGGAGGCCTGGAATGAGTTTAATTTCTTTGGAATATCAGAAACGACACATATAGTTTGAAGGTGGCCAGTGGCTGCGTCTTAATTCTTCCTTTTCAGTACATAGGTCAGAAGTCCCAACTAGCATTACCAGAGCATTTTTTCTGGTACAAAGTAACATGGAGATGGAACTCAGATAATACGTAATCTTCCTTGTGTTTTTAAAAAGAGAAATTATTGTAAACCAGTATTTGTAGTTGAATCCCTGTAATAGTCTTTGAAGGAGCTGTGATTATTCTCACTTTTCAGATGTTGTTACTGTGGTCAGGAAGTTCACAGGGGTGGTAAGTCACAGATGCTGCACTTGAAGCCAAATGTTTTGACTCCGAGCCCAGGACTCTTCTCACTGTGATGTCAGGGTTTATTATCAATACGTGTGTTTGTGTTTCCATATGCACATCAGTAAAGTACTGAGAAAGCATCCGGAAAGCTGGCCTTTTCGCCGAAGTGAAATTATTTCTACACTGTTTTTCAAAGACCCCCAAATTTTAGTATGTTTTGAGTTTGAGAAAGCCTTTGATGCTGGAATGCTGTATGGCTGGTACGTGGCATGACCCAAAATGTAGGGTTGGATGTGAAAAATAAACCTGTGCACAATGAGACATGACCCGTTGTTCTCAAGGAACGGACAGCCTTATCCTTTTTCAGATTACTCCCAATTTAAGAAAGTAATTTTAATTAAAATGGGAGTAAGTAAAAGAAAGAGGGAGGAAAGACATAACTAGTGTGTTCTGTTGCAGGAACGAATGTAGAACACAGGTGGACCGGTTTCCTGCTGCCAGATTTAAGAAGTTTGCTACTGAAGATGAGGCCTGGGCCTTTGTCAGGAACTCTGTAAGCCCTGATGTTTCAGAAGGTAGTCACTATTTCTTATATCAGTATTACACTTGAACTTATTCAAAGTCTTTTATAAGCCGATCTCATTTGATCTGTATCGCTATCCTCTAGGCAGATAGAAAAGATATTATGATTGCTTCCGTTTTACAGGTGAGGAAGTAGGCTCAGAGAAGTTAAAAATAGTGTTTCATGTCAGTAATGGTGTTAGAACAAGCCAGAACACACATCTCCTGCCTCCATTAAGTGTCCTCACTAGTACCATAATTCCTTATATTTTTTAAAGTACTTGTACTTGCTATTGAATTGAGTGGGCTGCAATTTTAAAGTGATGAGTATAGATTTCATTGCATGTATCTGTGTGATGCTTCCTTTTTTACTTAGGACAGAGTCACACAACCTGGATTTCTTCCAATTTCACGTGTTACAAAAGTATAGTTATTTGAACTTTAAGGTCTACTATAAAAATAAGCACATAAACCCGTTGCCATCAAGTCAATTCTCACTCATAGTGACCTTATAGGAAAGAGTAGAAATGCCCCATAGGGTTTCCAGGGCTGTAAATCTTTACGGAAGCAGATTGCCACATCTTTCTCCCAGGGAGCTGCTGGTGGGTTTGAACTGCCAACCTCTTGGTTAGCAGCCTCGCACTTAACCAGTGTGCCACCAGGGCTCCTTAAGTTCTAGTATAAGGGACGTCAATTACGCAAGCCTAAGGTGGCTCTGCTTTAGAGCACGAGATTTAAGAAATATATCTTAACTAATCTACCTTGAGCGAGGATTATTTATTTATTTTCTTAAACTTTACTTACAAACATTATTACCCCCGTGGATTAAGACTGAGCAGAGGATAGTTTTCATCAGTTTTTCTTGGACAGTCCCCCAGAACACAGTGAGGTGCTCAAACACTGAACAACTGCTCCTTTGGACCCTCGTCACAGTTCTGGACAAAGCAGAATTCAGGGAGAGGCAGATTGCTGTAGGAGTCCACCCCCGAAGGACCTCACCTCAGTGTGTATCCACTTTACCCTCCATCTTCCCAGCGGCTTTTACAGGAGGCTCCAGAGTGACAGTTCTGTTTCTACCCAGATGGGGAAAGCAGTTTGGGACAGAAAGCAAGTTCGAAAGTATGACTCTTGTTTTTGTTGAGTTCTTAATATTTTATTTTCACAGATTTTTTTTTTTTTAACCGATTAGTAATTTATGCATATCTCATTTCTTCTAATGTATATGTTTCTGTTAAGTACTCTAAATTTTTCCTTAAGGGGAACATAGTTCTTTATGTCTATGCATCTTACTTGAAAGTTTACAGAGACCTCTTAATTGACTCTAATATATAAACTAGGATTTAACATCTTTAATATTCATGAACTGTATCAAAGCAAAAGTATTAGCCCCTTACCCAATTTTTCTGTCTCTTGATATTACATTCATCCTCTTTTTGAGATTATTGAGTTATTTGCTAGTTAGTATGGCTTGTATAAACCAATTTATGGTTGATTTACTGAAAGGAAAATCAAGTTATTTTGTGAAGTAAAAATTACCTGATACATGTGGTCCCCCTTTCCTTCAAGGTCTCTTCTGTTCTTTAAAACTTTCAGTCCAGTTTAACTTTCTATGTTATAATAAACCAAACCAATACATGTATTAAGAATTTACAGAACTGCACTTTGGCCTGTACATGTGTTCTGTAGAGTACCTAGGGATCCCTGGTGGTGCAGTGGTTAAGAGCTTGGCTGCTAACCAAAAGGTCGGCAGTTGGAATCCACCAGCTTCTCCTTGGAAACCCTATAAGGCAGTTCTACTTTGTCCTGTAGGGTTGCTGTGAATCAGAATTGACTTGACAGCAATGGGTTTAGAGCACCGAGAGGAATGTTTTCAAGGTAAATATAAGATAACCCAAAATAGAGCAGAGTGGAAATACCAAACGTTGCTCTATATGTAATACTGATTTCACTTACGTTTTGTCCATGTAACCTTAGCATTCTTCTGAAAAGCGTGGGTTGAGAAGATAGGCTAGATTAGAGGTTTTGGTTTGTACTGATCTAGCGGTGATTAATAAATGTTAGGGCCCCAGTTCTCCATGCCTGTTTTAGGGGTTTAGAGCTAAAAGTGATCTCTCTTCGTTGTGTTAAGGCGGTTCTTTTGGAAATGAAATCAGTTGCTCCTTGTATACCCTTTTTTCTGCTGTATAAAGTGGTAATATAGGAAACCACATTTCAGATGATCTAGTCCCTTGCTTCATTTGACAGCTTGGAGGGTTTAAGTGAGTTGAGCAAGTTCACAGGTGATTGATAGATAAAAGGTTGAACTCAAATTGCAGCTCTGATTTTTTGGATCCTGGTCTAGCTGATCCTCTGCTTTAGCTGCCATAATAATGTTAAAATGTAAGTGAGATATTGGCTTCTCCCAAAAAACCCAGAAAAGGTGTTTGTGAATCTCTTTGGGATTAATCTCGAATTCACCATGGCTAGGCTGCTGAAGAAATAACTGCAGCATTACTGCCCCTGAAGGGGCCCAGTCTCATCTACGTTTCTGGTTTTATTTGCCTTTCTTAGCCTGCCCCATCATCTGTTTACTTAAAGTAGACTTGCCCCTTCCCTCCTAGCCGTCCTAGAGGTTTTCAGCTTGGCGTCCCTGCAATTCTAGTATTTTTTCTAGGAGGGGGAGGGGCCTCTGAACTACAGATACCACCAACACTATATACAAAATTTTGATTGCTGTAATTTTTCTGGGGAAAGATCCCCTCAGATTTTCAAAATATGTGATCCCTATAGAGTGAAGAACCCTTGGGATCTTTATTATCTCCATCAAAACCAGATTTTGCTTTTAACAAAATCCTTAATATCATCTTGACATTGTCCTTACTAAGCCTGTCATGAAAAATTTAAGATTATTTCGCAGGACATCAAAGTCTGAGATGCTACATACCGCCTTAAGTCATCCCCTCTTTGTAGGGCCATATACAGAAGAGTATTTAAGTCTTCTTTAGTGCTACTGAACCCCTTACCAAACGTCTTGGTTCTTGAACATTTCATGTTGTGTTCACTGTCTCTCGTTTACAAGGAGAGTCTGTCTTTCAGGACAGAAGAATCAACGTGTGCAAGAACCTCAGCTGAAAGCAAACAAGCGGCCCCGTGAGTCCCCGAATGATGAGGAAGATGAAAACACAGAGCCGTGTGTGAAGCATCTAAAACAAAATACAGAATCCGTCCCTTCAGTTAGCAAAGACACATTTTCTTATATGGGTATCTCTTTCTTGGATTTTTTATTTTTAATATAATAATTATGAAAATATGTAGACGTTTTCCCCACTTTCTTAATGAGGACATTTTTAGCTGATGTTTAATATCCTCAGTCTTATCTGAAAAGGTTAATTAGAAATCTCTAAGGTCACTACTTTATAATTGAGCAAATGGTACAGAATGATTAAGATTTTTGGATGTTCACAAGGAAACTATTATATAGATTACAAATGAAAAACGTTATAATCTTTTAAAATAATAATATTCCTTATGCATGCAGTATTTTAGCTCACTAGGGTAGAAAAGTCTAAGCTGAAGCTTCAAGTAAGAAAGACCTAGAAAGAGCATTTTATATTTGCTTTTTATAGTTGATTAACACCAGGATTTTGAGCTTTTTTATATTCTTTGCAAAACATGAAGAGATCCTACCTTATCTTGAGAAGCAAGGTTGTGGTGAACATTCCCTTCCTTTAACTCCAAGAGTCAATTGTTTATGTTTACTCAAAGTATATAAGTTTCTTCTGTCTTTGACATGTATGAACAGAAAAGTATAAGTAAGTATCATGTTTTTAATAAATCAGTGTGTTTGTAGGTTCAACGTTTTCCTCCAGAAGCCATTTTATAATTTAAGGGAAACCAGTAGAAAATGTCTGTCAGGCTGCACCTAGAGATCAGTTTTACAGTTATGTTTAAAAACAACAAACTGTCCTTGATTTGGATATTTACCAGTGGTAATTGAAGTAGTCATTTGTTCAGTAATTGGGAGATGAGCCATTTCCCCTGCACTAACAGTTGCTTGAGGCATAATACATATGGCACCTAGCATACTGCCTAACATGTAAGAGGTACTCACAGTTGAAATAGAATTAAGTGAATAGGAAGGAAGTGTGCAATAATGTTGTTTGAAGTTCCAGTTGAAATGAGGAGCCTTGCCCAACATCCATATTCTAACAGACTACCTACTGAGCACTCCCAGCCCCACTCCTGTTATGGATGGCTTCTTCCATCCTTGCTTACCATCTTGTCTCCTTTCCCCTTTGCCTCTGCCACGCTCAAGCTACCATCCTTGTGGCAAACACCTCATGCACATGTCGCCTCTAGTCGCTTCCACACCCATGCCTTTAACACTTTGCGGTCTGATTTCTGCTCCCACCACTTTGCTGAAGGTGGTCTGGTCATCAGTGATCTGAGAGGCCTTCCTGGCAGTCCTTGTCTGCCTTGTTCCCTGTAGCATTGACACAGCAATCAAACCCTCTGCCTTGATGGAAAGAAGCAAAGACAGGCCAGTTTTTACTAGTGGCACATACTTGAAGAAAAAAAATTAGACTGAGTTTTTCAGAGAACTTGAACTTCTGGCAGGCAAGGTTTTTATGATACTGAGGTACATTGAGAAATGACAGTATCCTGACAGTGGAAGTAACCTGTGGGGTAGGAAGGGACAGTTTATCGTTCTTCGATGCCTTTAGCGTGGGATGCAAACAGCAGTTACCTCTGCAGCGAGTTGTTCCCTTACTTAGTAATTGTATTCTCCTTGAATTTACCTAGCGTGCGGGACCAAGACATGAGTAGGTTCTAAGCAAAAAGTGTCACATGCCCCATGTAAGAAACTGATAATGTTGAGCATTATGCTCTTTTAAGAACCGTGTGGGATCAAATGGACAAGAGCAACTCGAAAGATTAGATGGGAACCTTAGGGGGCAGTGAGGTTCTGTTTTAATAGAGGAGGAACAACTCAGAAAAGGGGGGTGAGAATGGTTGCACAACTTGAAGAATGTTATCAGTGTCACTAAATTGTACGTGTAGAAACGGTTGAATTGGCGTATGGTTTTTGCTTTGTGTGTTCTCAATAATGGTAACGTGAAAGAAAAAAGAAAGTGATAATGTTTTCCCAGACGGGAAACATCAAGGCATTGTAAAATAGTCTGTGTTTAAAATACTCATTCAATTTTAGTAAGCTGTTGAGGTGAATTTCAGCTTTTAATACTGTTGGTCCAGCAGCACTTACTCCGTTTCCCTTTTACAGGAGAATTTGTGGTGGTTTACACTGACGGCTGCTGCTCCAGTAATGGACGGAAAAGGGCACGAGCAGGAATTGGCGTTTATTGGGGGCCAGGCCATCCTTTGTGAGTAAAACCAGTAAAGTGAAACTTTTTAAGCTTCACATTTTCCCGGATCATATTTCAAAGCTTGTGAAAGGATGAGACAAGATATGCTTACTGTTGGGTGATTTGGAAGACCCACCAAGTAAAAGCATTTGCAGGAGTAGCAGAAAAACAGAGCTTTGATTCATGTTGATGCTGAACGGATTTGTTCTTCAGGATGTTAAATTACCTTAGCATTGCTTTTCTAGTCCTAAAACTTGACGGGTCTGTATGTCTCACTGATAAGATGTTACACAAAATTATGTAATTGCCTCCTTGAACAAGCACAGGGTACGCTGGGAGATTGTTCTTGCAAGGGGGCAGGTCACTGGGCTTGGACCCCATCATATCACTGGAGTTGTAGCCATGACTGACTGTTCTGAAAATATGTAACTGTAGAGGTGAGCCTTTTATTTTTCAAAAGGCACAAAATTAAGGGGATGTGAAATGCAACCATTCACATAATCTTAGCCCCTAGGAATGAAAGAACTTGAATAGTAACTGACACCCTAAAATCAAATGTAAAACGGGGATTTGACTCTTCTGAAGTCTCCATGTACCAGTTCTGAGCTTTGTTCTCTAGTAGTAACAGGTGTCCACAAGACTGTTAGGCATATTTACTGTAAATCATTCAGTAATAATACCATTTTACTTATATTGAGCATTATAGTTTATGAAGATTGTTCACCTTAATATCTTATTTTAGCTTCAAACCCCATGAGAGTGGGTGAGCTCATGTTTTCACCATCTCACAGGGAGAAAACAGTTGTGAGTTTAAGTGGCTTGCTCAAGACCACATAGCTAATACATTTCAGGTCTAAGACTTAAACCTGGATCTTAAAACTGGGGTCCCGTGTTCCTTCTCCCACATTATACCGTGGTGCCTTTCAATAAAATGTAAGTATTAGTGTGGTTGGTTGTTAAACGCAATGTTTTTATATTGTGCTTTTATGTTTCAAAGGAGCCCTGGTGTACAGTGGTTAAAGCACTTGGCTGCTAACTGTAAGCTGTCAGCTGTTCAAACCCACCAGTCGCTCCACGGGAGAAAGGTGTGGCAGTCTGCTTCCGTAAAGATTTACAGCCTTGGAAACCCTATGAGGCATTTCTTCTCTGCCCTGTAGGGTTGCTATGAGTCGGAATTAACTTGACAGCAGTGGGTTAGTTTTTATATTTCAAGTAAATATACAATCACTTTGAGAATTGCTTGATAATTTTATTTTCTCTCTTATTGCTTTGAAACAGAAATGTAGGCGTTAGACTTCCTGGACGACAAACCAACCAAAGAGCAGAAATTCATGTAAGTGACTGGATAGATTTGCTGCTAACAATTTAAGTTCATCATTCTTTAGCGTTGACTGTGAATGTATCAACTCATTTTATACTACTTTTGTATGTAAGATGGAGCCCTGGTGGCACAGGGGTTAAGAGCTCAGCTGCTAACCAAATGTCAGCAGTTTGAATCCCCCAGCTGCTCCTTGGAAGCACCATGGGGCAGGTCTCCTCTGTCCTGTAAGGTCGCTGTGAGTCAGAATTGACTCGACAGTAGCAGGTTTTTTTGGATGTATGTAAGGTAGACAAAGTCCAGAAGAAGCTTAGTTTGGGGTTAAGTAACAACTCTGAAGGAGAAGAATTTTCTAGAAAAGTCCAGAGGAGAAGGAATGCTTACATTTTGAAGTCATTCTGAAAGCTGAACACTTTTTGTAGAATAATTATCAACTCGTTTCTTCAAGGCAGCCTGCAAAGCCATTGAACAAGCAAAGGCTCAAAACATCGATAAGTTGGTTCTCTATACAGACAGTATGTTTACTATAAATGGTAAGTATTCACATTTTATTTCTTCTAGTGTTTTTTTTTTTTTTTTTTTTTTCTGTTTTTTCAGTAAGTATAAAGGGAAATAGATATTTTCTTCCCTGGTGGGAGGGATTGTAACAGGGCAGAACCCAAATGGTAAACATGAATAACATTTGATTGATGAGGTCTCCGGGAAAGAGTGAGGATTTTGGAATCCCCGCTTCTGCCCCAGCGTTTACCACGTATTTATTTCATACCCACTCTGTGCCAGGCTGTGAAGCTAGATCTGTCTCTACTCTCGTGGTCCCTAGAGATTACTGTGAATAAACAGTTTGAGGTAGTATGCTAAGTACTCCTTGGGGAGTACAGTGTATAGGACCACATGGGAGGGATGCTTAAGAGGTCTAGGAAGGCTTTTTGGAGGCAGAGACATTTTAAACTGAGAACTAGAGGTTGAACACAGGTTAGAGGAAGAGGAAAAGGAAAAGGAGGAGAATATTTCAGGCGTCTGCAAAAAACCAAAGCATGGCATAGTTAAGGAAGTGAGAAGTTCAGAATGACTGCTTAGAATACAGATGAGCGATTGTAAGAGATAAACCAAGGGAGCTTAAAAAAACAACCAGAACATTCAAGCAAGACCTTTGCACCTTTGTGACCATAAGCAAGTTATTTAACCTCCCAGAGCCTCATTTTTCTTATCTCTAAAATGGAGAAAATAAAACATACCTTTATCAGGCGGTTGTGATGATTAAGAGGGCTTAGCACGTGTGAAGTGCCTGTCACCTTGAAATGACTGGCTTTCCCAAGGAATTCTGTGTGGGTAGAACTAATCCTTCTTTAGTGTTTTGGGAGTCTCCCATTAATCACGTCTTCATCGGAACAATTTTGGTAGGTTTGTATCGTTTGGATGCAGCAGAATGCCAGGTGTGAAGTAAAGATGACATGTCTAGAGTAAAATCATTTTCAGCTTGTATAGGAGGATCTCTTTCAGCTACAGAATAACTTAGCAGTTTGGTTTGAGACGACAGCATGTCTCCTAGTAGTTTCTAATAGACTGGATTAGACGTGGGGAAATTAGGGAGGATGTCGGGCTGTTCTGTATACAGTGATGTTGTTAGCTGCCCTTGTTCGTTGACCTCCGACTCATGGCAACTCCCTGCACAACAGAATGGACATCCCCATGATCGGTTTTGGACAGGACCATTGTGATCCATAGAGTTTTCCTTGGCTGATTTTGGCAAGTAGATTGCCAGGCCTTTCTCCCTAGTCTGCCTTAGGAAGCTCCGTTGAAACCTGTTTGTCGTAGCAACACGCAAGCCTCCACCGACAGACGGGTGGTGGCTGCACGTGAGGTGCACTGGCGGGTAATCGAACCCATGCTTCTGACATGGAAGAGGAGAATTCTATCACTGAACCACCAGTGCCTCATTGGAGAATGATAACAGCATGTATTGTTTTGTAGAACATACTTTAGAAAATATTCCTGGAGGAAGAGGCAAATTTAAGAACAGTTAAAAATTAGAATGGAGACAAAAAAGAATGTAAAGCTAATTATGAAATAATGAAATTAATCTGAAAGTATGTATTTCTTTTAGCTATAACTAATTGGGTTCAGGGTTGGAAGAAAAATGGATGGAGAACAAGCACAGGGAAAGAGGTAATCAACAAAGAGGACTTTGTGGAGCTTGACACACTTACCCAGGGCATGGATATCCAGTGGGTGAGTATTTTTTTTTAATGTTTTAAATTAACTAGCGTGACTAATGGCTTCTATAAATGATTCACTGAATTAAGAAGTTAAAATAATAGTTTCTATGAAATTAATATCATAATGTATATTAAAACACATTTGATTGTTTTGATCATTAAATAATTAACACTATGTTAACAAGAAGGTATTATTTTATACAGAATACATTGGCAGTCTGATTTGAGGGCCATTCGATATTCTTTACATTTTGATATTAATGCAGAGTAATGCCTGGGCTAGGCATACCTCATTACTGTTGGAGGTGCAATAGTCAAACCTACTAGTTTCTTTGGAATCAGTCATAATGTTACATAAAACTAATTTATATAGTGGGCTTTGCTAAAAAAAATAAATAAAGTTGTGTGACAGAGCCTTACTAACGTGACTTTTTCCACAAAATGGAAAAATTTTTCTTACAATAGACGGTTTGTTAAACTTGTTTTTTTTTTCCCCCCCCAAACAGTGCAGAGCAAGTTAAATGCACCCATTGTCTCTACTCTGCCTTTCTCTCCCTCCCGGAACCACTGATAATAGTGTGGTAGCCTGACATTTACATTTGTCTTTCAGCAACCTAGGTGTAAACAATGATTAAATCAAATAAGCACGTCCATACTTCCTTAGTTAGAATACAGCGCATGTACTGTAGATATACATGCATGCATGCATGCACACGTGCTTTGCATGGGGAGCGTGATGAGTCTCATTATTAAGTGAGGAGAAGGCAGTACAAACAGTAAGATCCAGTTCATGTAGAAAATGAAATTTTTGTAAATGTCTACATTGCATAAACGCAGTGAAAATGTCTCTAAGAATATGCCTTGTGCTGTTTATAATTACACTGGGAAAGGCGCTGTGAAGGTGAGCTTTCTTCTCTGTATACTCTGTGTAGTTGAATTTTCTTACAGTGAGAATACAGTCATGTATTGCTTGTGTCAGAATTAATGACAGGAAAATTTCTATTTTAACAGATGCATGTTCCTGGTCATTCAGGATTTATAGGCAATGAAGAAGCCGATAGATTAGCAAGAGAAGGAGCTAAGCAACCCGGAGACTGAACGAAGTGGTTTTAATCTTGGGAGCATGAGTCAGTGGCTGTTTCCTTACTTTCACTTATTGGTACGGAAAATGAAAGACTGTAGGATGGACTATTGCAATAGATGCGACAGGCACAGTGTTTGAACCAAACCAGAAAGGCAGTGTGGCTGTCTCTGAAATACAGTTGGATTGAAAAGTGGTTAGATGTATAATAAATTGGCCATGCTTTGAGATGTCAGAATTATGCTTATTGGGTTCAATACTATTGTCATTTATCTTATTGGAGTGTGATCCAATTTTTTATTTTAATAAAGAATGAATAAACCTTGGTTTAAAAATGCAGACAAGAAGTATAGATATGGAGTCTCATGATTTTAAGGTTGATCTGAGCCTTTGTGCAGATTTAGCTCTTGGCAGGTGCAGCCCCATGGCGGGACGCAAAGCTTAGCAGACAGCGTGAGCTGGGTCTCAGCTGACACTCTCGTATGGGCCGTAACCTGCACGTAGGTAGCTCCGGCTGTTAGACCATAATAGAGGAATGATTACAGCTTTTAAAGACCCAGATGGTATAAATAAATCTTTTAAAAATTTCTTCAGATGTTTTTGTCAAAAACACTGCAAGTTAAAAAAAGTTTGAAATGATCGTTTATTTTTAAACCTATTTATTGTAAAATAAAAACAGAAAAACCACACGAGACAACTGTATAGCTTGTTAAATTTTTATTATTGTAAAGTGAATACCCTTGAAACTGCCACCCCGGTCACCTTGACAGCCACCCCAGTGGCTCTCCAACTGCCCCATCTCATCCCAGCCCCCACTGTCCCATCAGGAGTAACCATTATCCTCATTTCTATAGAAATGGCTTCCTTGTGTTTCCCTTGGCACTTCAGTCTTACTCACTTTTTGAAAAACTTGATGTGTCTTATGTCTTCAGTCTCTTCTAACCCACAGCTTTCTTCTCCATCCGTTTGTCCTGTAGTTCTTCACATGGTACAGTTAAACCTTTTCTTTTGTCCTCTGTTATTTCCTGCGACTTGGCAGCTGGGTCCAGAAGCTTCATCAGACTCAGGTTCCATATCTTTGGCAAGACTATCAGTGCTCGTCCTTGAATTTTATGAGTAGGCATATGTCCGATTTTCATCTTCGTTGATGTTGGCAGTTGCTAATGCTCATTACCTAAATCCATTCATTAGGATTTTCAAAATGGTGATACTCTAATTCTGTGATTTCATTTGTGTTTATTAGCCAGAATAGTTTTATAAGTTTACTCTTTCTAATTCTCATATTCTAGTAGTTTGGGAGCAAGGAGGATCAGACCACTCAGTAAAAGTTCCCTTTTCATTTAGTGTGATGAATTGGCACTCAAAGTTTAGTAAAAGGATGCCATCAGAACAAAACATCTAGCAACTGTAATGGCGCTCTCTTATTCCTCAGTTCCTAAGATACTTGGGAATAAGCTCTAGAAAATAAACACCATGAGGGCAGGACTTTGTTTTGTTCATATTCTCCCGAGTACCTTTAACTGCTGGCACACAGAAGGCATTGAGATATTTGCTGAATGAATACCTGGGCAAGTTTGTTAAGATAGCTTTGGGTCTCAGTTGTCTACAGAGAGAAAGGGATTGGCATGTGGCCACTCTAGTCTTCTTTTTGCGAAGAACAGCTTTCATCAAAATATGCCTCAAAACTGAGATTCTTCTCTAGTGCATTTTGGTCAGCTCTAAGGAGTCCTTGGGTGGCAGATGGTTAATCCCGCAGCTACTGACCAGAAGGTTGGCGATTTGAACCCGCCCAGAGAGGCCCATCGGGAGAAAGGCCACAGCCATGAAAAGCCTATGGAGCAGTTCTACTCTGCATATATTGGATCACCAGGAAGCAGAACCGACTGGATGGCACCTAACAACAACTCTGTGATTGTAGAAATAAGTGTCATGGATTGAATTATGTCCCCCTAAAAATGTGTGTGTCAGTATGGCTGGGCCATGATTCCTGATATTGTGTGATTATCCTATATGTTGTAAATCCTGTCTCTATGATGTTAGTGAGGGAGGAAGGTCAGCAGTTGTGTTAGTGAGGCAGGACTCAATCTACAAGACTGGATTGTGTCCTGAGGCAAAAAGAGAGAAGTGAGCAGAGAGACGGGGGACCGCATACCATCAAGAAGGCAATGCTGGGAGCAGAGTGTGTTCTTTGGACCTGGGGTCCCTGCGCGGAGAAGCTCCTAGTCTGGGGGAACATTGATGAGAAGGCTGACAGAGAGAGAAAGCCTTCCTCTGGAGCTGATGCCCTGAATTTGGACTTTTAGCCTGCTTTACTGTAAGGAAATAAATTTCTCTTTGTTAAAGCCATCCGCTAGTGGTATTTCTGTTATAGCAGCACTAGATGACTAAGACAGTAAGTCAAGCAGTTTTCCCTTTCTAGGTGACAGGTTTTCCTAAATATAACTGTTAAGCTCATAGCGTTCACATCCTTTTGCTAAGACCGGAAAGAACAAAATTAAAGATTAAGAAATAGAACTCTAGACAATAAAACCATTACCCTCATAATTTGTGTGTGTATGTTTTTACTACAAAAATATCAGTAGCCAGGAATCTTAATATTGAGGATAACTCCTTTCTCTATGACAGGCCCTAGTTAATTGGTTTATCTTTAAAAATTATTCAGATAGACTTTCAGAAAACTAAGAGACAGATCAATGAAACTGTTTTTCAACAAGTCCTTTTTATTCTCCACTTTCAAAGGTATTAAATAATAAGTAGTTATAGCCTACTCTGGTTTCTGGGTCCTCTGCTGGTGACGTTCCTTTTTTTGTTTGTTTTAAATATCTGAGCAGCACAAGATTCCTCCCCTCCCCCTGCATCTCAAGACAGATGATAATGATTCATCCATCGTCAAGCTCAGATGACCTAGTAACTGCTTCCAAAGAGGAAAAGTAGTGTTTGAACCCATCTCTAACCCAGATGACCCAGATGATGACATCTTTGACACCTCTCTGTCTCACACCCCAGGGTCAGTATGTCAGCAAAGGCTGTTGGCTCTATTTTCCAAATACACCCAGAGTTTGATCACATCTTACCGCTGCAGCTGTGCTGTCCAAGGTACGATCATTCCTTGCCTAAGTTACTACAATAGCCTCCTAATGGGTTTGCCTTCTTCTGCCCTTCTCCTACTACAGTTTACCCTCCATATAATGGCTAGATGGTATTTTCCAAAATGTGTCAGATCATGTCACTCTTCTGCTCAAAACCCTTCAGTAATTACCTATTCTCAGAATAAAAAGCAAAATTCTTATCCACGGCCTCTAAGTCTTCACGATCAGACACACCATTACTCATCTCACCTCAGCTATTCTCCTCCTTGCATATTCCACTCTAGCTATATGGGTTTTTATTGTTATTCTTCAGATATGCCTCAGGGCCTTTGCACTTGCTGTTTGCATTGCCTAGAACTCCTGGTCTTTACTCATGCTCAGATGGTTCTTTTTTTTTTTAGTTACACATGTATAATTTATTGAAAGGCAGTCAGCAGGCTAATTTTGTGAGGGTCACATACAAGTATGAACCAGTATCAAGAGGAACTTTCTTAATGAGACCTTCCCTGAATCTCCTAGTTAATATAACAACTCTTCATCTACCTACCACTTTCCTTGTCTTTCTCGCTTGTCTTTCTTTTTCGCCATGGGACATTCCATGGTGTGCTAGAGCCAGTTCACACTAGCCCACAAGAGCCAACTGTGCACGTCTGTTCCCAACTCTGCACTCAGTGACTTCACATTGGTAGTGTGAACTGGCCGTGGTGGGAACATTCACATCACAGAAATCAGCAAATGCAACCAATCAGGGCTCTCCCTCCCCCACAGCTGTTGTAAAATGTTTACCAGCACAGCAGTGGACATACTCTGTACTTTTTGTTTATATATATTTATGTTGTTCTGTTTGCCCTATCTAGAAGCTCCACATAGGCAGACATTTTGTCTCTTTGCTCACTTCTACATTTCCAGGAGAGGGGAAGTTGTCTTCATCTCTAATAAAGCAGCATTATGAAGGAACAAGCTTGCATAATGTTGTCAGATTGGGAGAAAAATGTTGTATGACATTTTATGCATCCTTCTTCCTTGGGGCAGCATGAATAAATTATGTCTTCGGATGGGAGGGTGAGAGACTTGCATGGCTATGCCCTAGGAATAAGTGACAGCAGTGCTGTTCGCAGGTAAGGAATGACTCCATACCTTTGGGTGTAATGTTTCCTGATCTTTGTAATGTCAGAGCACACAGAGTGAGAGAGAATACTTCTACAGTGCACTGGGGTGAACTGGACGAGGTGGGGGAGCGTCTCTGTTGGCTTGGTGAAAAAAATTATTACATTTTATTTATACAAAAAGTAAAATACAAAGTATTAGGAAATATGATGAATATTATTTTGTATAAAACTTGCAAATAAATGCCCTGCAAAACATTTAATGAGAAATGCCTGGGAACACATCTTTTTATACCAGGGTTATGATTAAAATGGCTGTGGGCAGTTCCCAATCTAGACTTTTTAGAGATGATCTCTTCAAATTCTTGATAGTCACCAACGACAAGAAACTCTACACAAAAATAGGTGATAAAATTTTTAAACAACTCTCCTTTCATTGACAAATGTAAAGTTGAAATTGGATTTTGTATCCATTCAAACATTTTCATGTCAAGAATTTTAAAATACCGCGAAAGCTCTCAAGCGCGAACCACGCATGCTCAGTGTCCTCCCCCTGCAGCTACTCTCCAGCTCACTAAGAGGAAGGCGCAGGGCCCGACGGCGCTCTGTTGTACGTAGGGTCACTATGAGTCGGAACCACGCATACTCAGTGTCCTCCCCCTGCAGCTACTCTCCAGCTCACTAAGAGGAAGGCGCAGGGCGGACGGCGTTCTGTTGTACGTCGGGTCACTAGGAGTCGGAACCAACCTGATGGCGCCTAACAACAAGAAAAGGACCTATTAGCCACGAGAAGAAGTTTCCAAAATGCAGAGTGAGGGCTACTGCTGGGGGCCAGGCTCCCCAGGAGACGCACCAAGACTTCCCGCTCCATGCTCACCCCTAAACCACCACACCTCGAGCTGCTCTCCTTGCTCCTTGGCCCGTGGAACGTGAGCTCCTCCGGCAGCTCCCCAGGTCCACGTCCATGAAGGGGCGACGTGTTGTCACTGCTGAAGTAGATGTTATCTAGCACTCGGCCACGTTCAGCACATTGTACCGGAACACCGTTTGCTGACATTGCTCATCCTGCTGGTCTGTGGCCATCTGATCCTGCTGAGCTCGAGTCCTCCTAGGAGCCCTGGAGACAAAGCTGCTCAAGGCCCAGGGGCTCAGGCCACCCCATTCCCTAACTGGCTGCCCTGAGGGCACCTTTATGATGGATTGTGGCACCCAATGTGCTGCAGAAGCTATCAACTCCACCTTAGCGTGGCATTTGGATGAGATAGGTGGTAACATGGTCCCCCAAGCCAGGAGAAAGGGTACATTTGAGAAAAGATCTAGTGGCCTTTCTAAGCATTAATTTGCTCCAGGATTATAAATAGCCTTGTTCAATTTTTAGTTTTTAAAAAAATCTCAGGGCCTTTCTTTAAGTGTGCAAATTCATCTTTAAACACCACCTCATTGTTGTCAGATAATTATTTTTTTCTTCACAAGAGAAACCCACCAGTTTCTAGTGAATAGTCTTGCAGAAGATTATTTGATTTTGTAAAAAGACAGAAAACTGCAATATGAATTTCAGTTGATCAGTAGACTAATTTCTCAATTTCTCATACCCAACTTCAGCAAAAAGTCTGCTGGCTTTGTGAGGGTGCATCCTGCAATTAATTCTCCCTACTTTTGTGTATGTTTGTCGTTTTTCACTACGAAAGGTGTTACGGATTGAATTGTCTCCCAAAAATGTATGTCAGCTTGGCCAGGCTGTGATCTCCAGTATTGTGTGTTGTCCTCCATTTTGTCATCTGATGTGATTTTCCTGTGTTGTAAATCCTGCCTCTGTGTTAATGAGGCAGCATTAAAGGCAGTTATGTTAAGGAGGCAGGACTCAATCTACAAGCCTAAGTTGTATTTTGAGTCAATCTCTTTTGAGATATAAAAGTGAGAAGCGAGCAGAGAGACAAAGGGCCCTCATGCCACCAAGAATGAAGAACCAGGAGGGGAGCACATCCTTTGGACCCGGGGTCCCTGCGCTGAGAAGCTCCTAGACCAGGGGAAGATTGATGCCAAAGACCTTCCCCCAGAGCCGACAGAGAGAGAAAGCCTTCCCCTGGAGCTGGTACCCTGAATTTGTATTTCCAGCCTGCTGAACTGTGAGAGTAAACTCCTGTTTGTTAAAGCCATACTTGTGTGGTATTTCTGTTATAGCAGCAGTAGATAATTACGACAAAAGATTTTCTTTTCATTCTGTTATGTTGTTGTTTTAATCTAATGGGCAAGTACTGTACTGAGATTATTGGGTAGCAAGAGAATGAAATTGAAAAAGAAATGGAATCAAAAGAAGAAAGGGTTTGAGAAGTTATCTGGACCCACTGAAGAGCACCATTTATGTTTTTTTCAAAAGGCTGTAGAGAAAACAATGTTCAAACAAAAACTTGGACATGATTGAGAAAGGATCTAGTGGCCTTTCTCAGCATTAATTTGCTCCAGGATTATAAATAGCCTTGTTCAATTTTTAATTTTTTAAAAATCTCAGGGCCTTTAAGTGTGCAAATTCATCTTGAAACACCACCTCACTGTTGTCAGATAATTATTTTTTTCTTCACAAGAGAAACCCACCAGTTTCTGGTGAATAGTCTTACAGAAGATTATATGATTTTGTAAAAAGACAGAAAACTGCAATATGAATTTCAATTGAAATAGA